ATTTTACTCACCACCAATCAATGTGATATAAAATATATATTTGATCCTCTTTTAATAACTTAAGTTTTTTTTAGATTTCTCATAACTCAATTAAATTGCTAAGATATTATTAGAGCATGTTATGATCTAAAATAATATATTAGGTTTTTTTTTTAATAGGACATTTGTAATCACTCAACTAAATCTCAAACTCCAAAGTTTGATATATTAGCTTACATGTTTGACTGGTTATCTAATGTTTTAGTCACTCAAGATAATCACTGACTTCTTTCATGCCTTTGGTGCCTCATGGAGCACTCATTGAGTTACGATGATGTCAGCGTCAACCATGTCATGTCTTACGTGAATGAGAGCAATCGATCTAGAATTTTGTGGCCATAATGGTGACAAAGGAGGTCATCAAATGCATGATTTCCTTCTCTGTAGAAAAAAATGACAGGAAGAAAAATCGTAGAATTCTTTACTTGAAATCGACAATCCGTATGACTGACTTTGATGGTTCATAATAAGGTTTTAAGATCAGATTCCATCTTCTTCATCCATCCTTAAATAAATAAGAAAAAGTCAATCTTCCATATTTCTCTAACCTGCAAAGAACTCATTCTCAATAACCTCTTATTCTTCTTGTTTCGAGTCTCTAACCATTTGATAAGGATGCTTTGCAGTGGATGTTAGAAATTATAATTTAAATTTGATTACGATTAAATTACAAGTTTGAGATAAATTATGAGTTTGAGTTGAAATAGAAATCCTTATGGTTATGACTTTGTGGTTTAGGTCTATAAATATATGATATCATATTCACCACATCCTAAGCTAAGAGAAAAGAGGGAGAACGAGTGCAAACGACGTGGGTGATGTGTCGTTGTTAAGCACTATTCTATAAGCTCAAGTAATAGGAGTTTTGTCATCAATGACTTGTAGAAGCTAAGAGGTTACCAAGAGAGCAATAGGTGCTGTGAGTACCTATCATCCTATTGAGCCTTGATTTGATCCTATTAGAGAGAGAAGCATCCATGTAGAGAGAGAAATAACATTATATAGAGAGAGAAATAAAGTTCTCTTTGTCTCTTCTTAGACATCTGAAAAAATTGAAACGATACGGGGAAATAAAGCTCTTTAGAAAGAAAACAATATCATTGTAGAGAGAAATAACGGTATTTAGATAGAGAAACCCTACTGTTAGAGAGAGAAAAACTAAAGAGAAATAAACTATAAAGAGAAAATTTAAGGAAAGAGAAAGTCTAGAGAGAGAAAAATCGAGGGAGAGAGAAACTATATAGATAGAAAATCCAACAAGGGAGAAACTATAGAGAGAAGAATTTATGAAGAAGTGACAAGAAGATTGTCGACATGGCTTCTTTCAATAAAATAATTTAGTCTTAAATTCCTTGATTCATCGATAAAAACTATAATCACTAGATGAAATTTTTTTAAATATCAAGATATTTGAGATATTATTAACAAAGGATTTTACAAAGCCTTGTAAATATGATGAAGATTCTTACACCCCAAATTAGAAGATCTGAGTTGAGAAATCACAGAAAGAAAGATCAAGAGACTCTTACCCTTATTCATTAAGCAGTAGAAACTAATATCTTTAAAAAACCTCCACAACCCAAACTTCACATGATGCTTAGTCCATGCATGCTTCACAAGATATACCGAGGCATGACAAAGTATGCCTACAAGTGCTGAGATTAGAGTTTGAAAGTTTAAAGATAAATCAGGTTGAATTTATCTCAAATTATTTTTTTTTTACACTATGATCATCATAAACCAGATGAAAACCATTAGTGAAAAGGTTAGCAATATTAAAATTATGAAAAAGATTCTTATGTTATTAACATCTAAATTTGAGTATGTAGTTTGTTTGATCCAGGAGTCTAAAGATTTAGAGGAACATTTGATGAACCGATGGATTCTTTGATGGTCTATGAATAAAAAATTAATAAATATACATAACCTAAGCAGTCTTTGATACCAGATTTTCAACTTATGAAGCACAGAGAACTGAAAAGTGAGGGAAAGTGATGAAAGAAGATATTGATTCCATTGAAAAGTATCAAATCTAGGAGCAAAAGCCTATTGGTGTAAAAGTGAATCTACAAAACAAAATTGAGGCTATAAACAAAAGAAAGGGATTGATTATAATGAGGTGTTTGCACCGGTCATTAGACAAAGATTAGTACTTTCTCTTATAGCTCAAAATAAGTCAACTTATCAATTATATATTAAATTAGCCTTTTTGCATGGTAAGTTATAAGAAGAAGTTTATATTGATCAACATATTGGATTTATGATTAAAGGATTTAAAAATAAGATATACAAATTAAAAAAAAATATTATATAGTCTAAAGCAAGCACCCAAAGTCTTGTAGAGTCATATTGATGCATATTTTGATACACATGGATTTGAAAAAAATCTCTATAAATATACTTTGATTGCAAAATATGGAGAGGCTGAGAGGACATTAATTATTTACTTATATGTAGATATTATTTATGCTGGTAATGATGTTAACATGATTAATGAGTTTTAATCTTTTATGAAGAAAGAATTTGATATTCATGACTTGAAATTGAGTTTGATAAAACATTATCTTGAAATTGAAGTTGAGCAACAAAATATAGGTATTTTTATTTCTTAGAAAAAATATACTATATATTATGGGAAGTCTTATGTATTTGACTATGACCGAACTATATATTATGTACGGAGTTTGCCTGATTAGTAAATACATGAAGAATCTAACAGAAGTTAATCTCTAAGTAGCAAAGAGAATCCTAAGTTATTTGAATAGAATTCATGATTTTAATTTTTCTTTTATGGTAGGAAGTTTTTTTTATTTGACTGGATTTATTGCCATTGATTATGCATGTGATCTTGATAATGGGAAGAACACATGTGATCTTGATTATTGCCTTCAAGAAATAGTTTTTCTCTCTTCTGTCTTCTTAAATCTTGGTTTCTAAGAAATTTCTTCCTCTCAAGAGTAGACATAGTCATGCGCTCATGTATCATTTGTGTTCAATAGAATCAAGAAATGAGGCAGACACTTGCAATGTAATATAACAATTCTATGTTAATTAGCTCCCTGATCAAGAGATGTCCTTCATGGGTAGAAGGATCTCAGAAAGAGGGACCTCGCTCTGCGTTCAGGGGGAGCCATGTAAGGAAGCAGATCACAAACCATGGTTGTGTCATGTTGCAACTGCCCTGCAAGACATGCAAGCTGCATGCGCCCGAGTACGTAAGCATTGCTTCCTGCCCCTCAGAAGTCCCGTCCTAATAAACGCCACAACCGCACAGATCCCATGCATCAGTTGCAGCTGATACCTCATGGCCTCATCGGTTGCCGCATCTCCTCCCCTTTGCGTGCTTCTTTTCTTGCTTTCTCTTCGGCCTCATCCAACCGCTTCCTATACATCCTTCGTCTTCGGTGACTCCCTCGTGGACACCGGAAACAATAACTATCTCTTCACGATATCCAAAGCCGACTCTCCACCCTACGGCATCGACTTCGCGCCTTCCGGTGGCCAACCCACGGGAAGATTCACCAACGGGAGAACCATAATTGACGTCATTGGTAAAAAGTCTCCACAGCTGAGAGATACTCTTTGGTGAACAGAGATATCAATCACTTACACTAATCTTTCGTGTTCCACTTGACCATCTCAGTTCAAGGTCTGGGGGACAGCTCCTTTCCTCCACCATATTTAGCTCCAAATGCCAGCAGCAGCAGCACGATTTTTGTTGGTGTCAATTATGCTTCGGGTGCTTCAGGGATCTTAGACGAGACGGGATCCTTATTTGTATGTGACTAGTCCATACCACTTCTGCTGGTTTTCTTCCATTTGGCGTCGAAAATTTTCTTGAACTGCTACTGTTGGAATATTGTTCAGATTGAGAGAATACCCTTGGGCAAGCAGGTGCAATATTTTGAGGAAACCAGAGATTACCTAGTGGGGACTCTGGGAGAGAATGCCACAGGTAAGTTCTTAAGGAATGCCGTCTTCTCAATCATAGCAGGATCCAATGACATCTTGAACTACCTTGAGCCCTCCATGCCTCTCTTTGAGAAAACAAAGCTTCCCCCTGTTGCCCTTCAGGATATGATGGTCTCCAACTTGACCCTGCATCTTAAGGTGAGAACAATGAGCGGCAAAGTTCCATCACTGAGGACTCTAACTAACATGCTGCATTCATGAAGCACTTGCACGAGCTCGGGGCGAGAAAGTTCGTCGTGGTCGGGGTTGGACCTCTCGGATGCATACCATACATTCGAGTTATCAAGTTGGTGGCAGATGGGAGGTGCTCATCATCTACAAACCAGCTGATCCAAGGCTACAACATGAAGTTGAGCAGGAGGATTCAGGAACTGAATGAAGAGATGGGTCCTGAAACTGTATTCGTGTATGCAAATTCCTACGATATCGTAAGAGAACTGATGCAGAACTATCTTCGATATGGCAAGTGCTTCTCCACTTGATGTTTTCTTCCCCCACCTTAGTTTTCCCTTGTCTTATGCTCCAAAACTTTCGGTAAACATTGGTGCACACGCTGACATTGTCAGGGTTCGAGAATGTAGACGACCCTTGTTGTGGTCTCAGCTTCCCCCCACTGCTCTGCTTCGGACGACATGATGGCAATTCGAGCTCTGTCCTCTGCAAAGATCGAGCTAAGTATGTGTTTTGGGATGCATACCATCCAACCGAAGCCGCCAACATTATCATCGCAAATAAACTTCTCGATGGCGGTGCGACTGCTGCCACTCCTTTCAACCTACGGAGATTGTACACTAGTCGATCCTAATGTAAAAGAAAGAATACATGGAAATCGTTCGAGTATGGTGATGAGACTTGGATATATCCTGTGACTGTCCATTGCCTTTCCTGGAAGGCAATAGATGTATCATAAGATCATGAAGATATGAATAAGGTCGATTATATTATTGGCATAGAGATTATTAGAGATCGATCTCAATAATTATTAAGACTATCTTAGAAAAGGTATATTGATTAAGTCTTAGAGAGTAGCTGTACACTTAATGATGAAAGGTGAAAATTTTAATTTAAACTAGTGCTGTAAAAATAAATTAGAAAGGAATTGGCTGAAAGATATTGCATATGCAATTAGAAGTCTACTATATGTTTAAATTTGTACTAGACCAGATATTAGTTTCTATAACATAAGAACGAAGCACTTGAAAGTTGTAAATAATAATAATAATAATATTTGTAAGAGACGAAGATCATATGCTCACTTACAAAAGGTTCGATTAGTTAAAAGTGATAAAATATTTAGATGTTGATTTTATAAATTACCTTAACGGTAGGAAGTCCACTTCCAAGGGTTTTTTTTTTTGTAACGGGCGAGGTGATTTGCTGAAAGATTTCTAAGCAATATATTAGTGCATTATCGACAATGGAACCTGAATTCGTGCCATTCTTTGAGTCCACAAATTAAGTTTTGTGGTTTCAAAATTTTATCGCAGGATGTGATCGACTCAATTGTCAAACTGTTAAAAATATTTTATAATAATATTATAATAGTTTTATTTTTTAATAATGATAAGTATTCAAATCGTTTTAAGTATATTGAGATAAAGTATTTGATTGTTAGAGAAAGAATTTAAAAATATCAATTGAGAATTTGAGTACTAACTTAATGATTATTGATTCATTGACAAAAGCCTTATAGCCTAAAATGCATAAAGAATATATTCTTAGAATGAATCTTGTGAGCAACACATAAAATGATAGTGATGCATGTCTAAGTGGTTATTATAATTGACATTATTGCTTGTGTTTGATGATATTACTGTTTCTACTATCTTATTTTTTGTTTATGTATATATATATATGTTATATATGTATTTAATGATAAGAATAATTTGATAAGATAAATTTGATAGATCATTATGTATTGAGAATGATTGATAGGTTTATAGTATATAAAAGGAATGATGATATAAATAATATACAACTGGTATGACTTGCATTATCTTAATATAGTGTTATGTTATTTGTTAGATCTATCGATATGTTTTTAAAATCGTACATGTATAAATTATTTCTTTTCAAAGCTTAGAATCCAATGGCAAAATTATTTTAAAAATAAAATTTTATTTTGTTGTAATGATTTTGAATATTTGTTTTACATCTTTTTCTATTTATGAGCCGGGAGAATGTTAATCATATATGTGCTCGTAACTTAATTGGTAAGAGGTACTAAAGATAATGATTAGATTCTAATCAAATATCATCCAAATCTTAGATATTGATCTTGATAGAAAAGAATATTCAAGATTCCTTTTTTTTTTTCGAATCTTCTCTCCTCTATCTATAAATAGGTAGGGTCTATTATTATGTCGAAAAAAAAAGGGCACATACCCTCTTTTCTCATATTAAAATAAATTAGATTTCAATTCTTGACATTAATGTTTCAAAGTTACAGATTTATTTTCTAACATTATCATCAAAAGCAAATCCCTTAAATCCTTTTCAGAATCAGTTGAAAGGATGTTAAGGGATGCCATGGAAACTGAATGAGATGGAGTGGGACAGATGGCTTTAGGAGAATGATGCAATTGATCAAGCAGTGCTAAGGAGACATTAGGGTGGGAAACAATCATTGACTCCGTCACTTGGTTTCCACATGTTGGGTAATTTGACCATATCTTTCTCGTTACTGGCATTGATACCATAAGACGTTTACGTCGAGAAGGATGACGTGAACTTGTCGTATCCAATGACCAAAGTGAGATCCTTTGAATCCTCATCAACCATCATCTCTGGTTGAGTCTTAGGCCCTAGAGGCCGAGCTCCATCCGAAGGTATTGGTGGAGGAACAGGCGGATCAGAAAGGCTACGAGGACTACAGTGATAGCAACGAGGAGGAAAGTTTTCATAGGCAACAACATGAAATAGGTTGGATTGGGGCTTGCCTATCCTAATACCCTTTTCGAGAGCAAGTATTATGTCAATTTCATTAGAGACTCGAACATATCTTCCACTCTCTAATTTTAAAGAGGATGGATCTATTTTCAAAGAACGACCTAACATTCTTCATTCCAATGCTTTATAGTTTGACCACGAATATGGAACCAAATAGGAGCAGTATCATCATCAGTTGAAAGTTTAGCCGCCATAGGATTGTTAACTATAAGACATCCATCCCTATGCGAGTTAAGTTCCATGGTGTCCATTTGAAACAACTTTGAGTGCATTAGATTTAGAATGAAATTAAAATAAGAAAAAAATCATCTTTCACGATCAAAACAAAGAGAGGGTTGGAGAGACCAAATTTTAAGAAGCAGATTTCTTAAAACCAAAAGGGAAGGAGGTCCAATAACTGACGCCAACAACTTACCCATCAAGAGAAAAACCCATAACTGACGTCACAATTATAAATTTTTATCATCATGAAGTATCTCTTCGACCAGGATCAGTCGGCCTTGATGGGACATAGGGGAAGACGGTGGGGAGAACATAGGGGAGGGGGAGGGGGAAGGGGAAAGAGACTGCTCCTCCCCGTTGATACAGTTCAGCCAGATATGACGGAGCAATTTTCTTACTCTTCTTCACTAGCCCTTTTTCTGGCAGCGCCACACTGAAAGGACGTGGAAAAGCAACTGCGAGTAATATACCAGCCACTCACTTGCAAATAGCATAACTTATAGCAAGCATACATACACAACTTACCCTCTACAGGTAGGTGATTGACTCGCACACAACGGCCAACGCTTGCTTATTCATCGGACACTTTTGGTCCACAAAAGCTTAGATGCCAGGGGATAATTTCTTTGATTGCATGAATAGTTGGAGGATCTGTCCGTGTGCCACACACTACAAAAGAGAAACGAAACAACCCATCAAGCATCGTATACAGACATGGACACCATATTCCTGCATCAAATGTTATTACATATTTCTCTATGCTTGGGACATCCAAAATTTATACAACGGAAGTTCACCGAAGTATATTTGTCCTATCAATTTTTGCAAGATGAAGAAAAAGAATCTTCTGCATTGCTCTTGACATGCAAAATTATACTGTAGCCCATCAGACGGTATCAATTCTGTATTACTAGATATACAGATAAATGAACATGTAAAACGTGATCATGTCCAAAGTGGTTAAATCTTCTGCGACAGTTGGCTAACCCAAGTTTACTGGTATGCACAGTGGTGATGAGTTTAAAATGACTGTCTGGCCATGGAAGCTACAGCAGCTGAACAAATTGATGCTACACCGATCTGTCATAGACTTCATGCAAAGTAGCTTTATCCTGTGAACAAAAAGAAGTGAAAGGTGACTTCACTGAAGATCTCACTGGCACAAGCATATAAAGGAGATGCTAGACATGCAAGCACGTGTGACTGTTTTCACAGCAGCCAAATTAGAGTGCCACGCAGCTCAAGCATAATCATGGTGGCGAATCAGAGTTAATGGGTCACTTCTGGATGGACCAACTCACATGTGCCTATATGTCCAGTTTTCAATATAAAAAAGGATTTTTCATGACAAATAGATTACTAAGAACATTTAAATTTATTCGTTAAGCACTGCAAATGGAGGTCGTATCTTCTGGGTCATGATCATACAAACAAAAATCTAAGGAACCACTAGGTTTCTGTAACACCACAGGTGCAAAACAGTAAACATCTCCAACCTTTTCTTCACGTGTAAAAGCGAACATAACCCACAACATTTATAGAGATGCGGCTTTTTATTAGGAATCACAAAGATCACCTGATTCATTGGAAGCAAATAAGAACAGCCAACCAGAAGGTAAATAGAATAAACAATCACCTCATTCTGCATGTTGTTTTCTGATGGAAACCAGCGCATGAAATTGCCAAGGTGCATTACAACTGGAATTAGTTTGAACATTAGGGGAGTTGTTACCTGCATATAAAATAATATGAAATCAACTTTGGATTTAAGAAAAAGGAAAGCTGATAGGCAGGGATATGAGAAAAGCACTCACAAGGCTAAGAGCTGTTGTTCCCAGAAGCAGAAGATACATTTTGCCCTACAGAAACAGGAACTTCTCTAAGAAAATATTGATTGAATTTAAAATGAATGCATAACATTTGACTATAGTAAATATTCATTATTAATGAATAATTAACACCCCAAATAATTGGGATATTACAGCTTGTTATTATATACTAGAATTGATATGACAGTGAAGAAGCAACATATTTAGACAAACCCTATACCAGTTAACTTCACTGCATTTTGATATTGCAACTAAAGTTGGTAAAAAAAAACGTAGAAGTAAAAGACAAGGGTTCCAAATATAGAAATCATCTTGTGCAGTATGTTTCCCTAATTTATGGTTTCAGAAAGATATAGGTTCCAAGTACATCAGGTGCTTCTAAGTTTGATACTACGAATATGATACATCAAGCAATAATGACTCAAGTTTATACTTTTCACTGAAAAAACAACAAGCTACTGTATGATACTTCAAACTGTAGAATAAATGTGTAGTAAAATATCATATGGAAAATCACCTCAATGAGATGAAGATTTGAGGCTCGACTTAAGAGAACGAAGGCAAATTCTCCAATTTGAGCTAATGACAAACCCACCTTTCATATCCAAAGTAGCATTTGAAAAAAAAAGTTAATACATGAGTGACAAATTAAGTTGTTTCAACTGAGAAAGTAAAACTTACAAGAAATGCTGTCCTGATGCTGTATCCAAAGGCTTTAACTACTATGGTTACCACAACTGTCTTAACTATGACTACCAGAATAACAGATGCTAGCAATATATCAACATGGTTCCAGAGGAATTGCACGTGTATGAGCATGCCAATGCTAGCAAGGAAGAGTGCTGCAAACAGGTTACGAATTGCTTCCACCTTCAATGCACAACAATTAACATAAAAGAAAATTAGTGCACAAAGCATAGAAAAAAGTAATAATGAAGAGCTTTTCCTGAACTAAGCTGCTCATTATCCACTGTGCATTCTGAATCTAGTTCCATTTTATAAATAGCATGCTTCAATGAACATACTTAAAAAAGAAATCAATCTAAAATAAGATTCTGATTTGGAAATTTATAAAGAAAGCATTTTGATGTGATGATAAAAAGATTGCTAAGCAACGGCCCTAGTCAATATGCCAATTTTCATGTGACAGTCTATTACTCGTGTAATATACAAAACCTTGGAAGAAGAAATGCTACCTCCCTATGTTGCTGCGACTCAGGTTTGGAGTGTGGCATTAATTTGTGTTGGACTTACTATTGCCCTATTTTAGAAAGTAGGAATGTCTTAAAAACATCCATATTCAAGATAAAAGTACAGGGTTTTTTTTGGCTCAAAATACAGGGTATTTAAAATGAATATTTAAGATATTTATAGATATGACCTAAAAAACTTCTCAACCTATGGGATTAGAAATGTGTAGATTATTGATGAAAAATAAGGACAACAGGTGGACTATAAAGCACAGACAACAGTTGGAGAACATAATCTCATAATTTTTGAAGATAGTAGTTTATAGGAGTTACCACAGGAGGTGCCATAGATATTGGGAGTAAGAATATGATATGTTGGTCAAATGACAATAGTCGAAAATACAGAGTTCCAGAAACAGTACTGACAAGAAAAGCCATTCCTCCAGTCTCTATTTGTCATTTATGACTACAAAAAGAGCCTTTGAAATTTAAATTACAGAAAGACCTGCACATATTAATAATCTTTCATATTAAATATCTGAAAAAAGAAAAAAAAATATTATCGGCGCCCCTGGGAAGACTTATAGACCATCAAAGTGATAACTCTCTGGTATCAGCATAGTAATTTATAGCATGATTGAGATACAGGCTCCTCCAACAAGCACAGCAAAGACCTATTGCTATAGGCAATTCTGCAATTGTTCTAAAAGAGAATCATCAAAGTATTGCTAAAATCATATTGTCCTTGGATGCAAAGCAATAATCTAATATAAAGCATTGACTAATTATGAGGCTGGCTGTTAACTGTTGGCTCCAATACTTCAATTGCTAAGCTTTCAGATTTATACCTTGAACCAACCTAGGCTACAATATCATGAAGTTTAAGGTAATAGCGTTTTAGAATTTTAAGATAAACCAGTAAGGTCAAAAATGGCATTATATGCACAGTTGACTGGACTATGCTCCCCAGATAGTGCAGAATCAATCATATACATGAATATGCTGATGTAGATGAAATGTTAGAAAAATTCAGATGCTAGTGTATCCCATCTGACAGTTCTAGAACACAAGAAGGATCAATCACAAACCATATAAAGTTGAAACCAAAATAAAATCAAGGCTTTTGCTCCAAGTTTGATGACCAGATGTACACAATCATATTCGATTTGGTTAGCTTTCTAAAGAAGTTCTAAATCTTGACCTGCAGATTGGTGTAACCAAATGTATGGCTGTCAGTTTGCAAACAAAACATATCTGTCGAGCATGAAGAAAATAATCCAATCTTGAAGAAAATAGAGCATATGAAGAAAAAATATATGCATGGTGTGCTAAATACATTGTTATAAACAAGTTGATGCAAGTATACCAAGCACAAAGGAAATGCCAACTTTGACAATAAACATCAAATTGCAGGACTGCAAACATCAATAGCAACATAGATGGATAGAGAAATATAAATCAAAATGTGAATGTCATAAGTTCAATACACAAGGGACAAGCTCACCTGGTCCAAAGTATGCTGTGCAAAATCAGTGGTGGATATCATTACTCCAGCAATAAATGACCCCAACTCAAGACTTAAGCCTAAATAATCACTAACCTGATGAGAGAAGAATTATCATGAAGATATATTTTCCAAAACATAAAAAAATAAAGAAAAATCAACTAAATTTAAGACGCTGAACATGTACATAAACTTAGTGAAATATAACAAAGGAAAAAGAATATATCTACATAACAATATTTCTAGTAAGAGCATGCAAACTTTCATCTTAAATGATGACAAAACAGAAGTTACTCTAAATCTTTTGAGGCATGAAATGGATTTGTCTCCTTCCTGGACTCTGAACTCCATTGACCTTGAGGTACCATATCCTAACCTTCTATCTCAGCTATACCTCCATTCCTTATCTGAGTTACTGAAGTTGCACAACGTACTTTTAGCCTTGTCCTACTCGATTTAAAACATTTTGCTTCTAATTTTTTTCTGTATTTTTAGGGAAAGACTGATCCCTACACCACAAATCAGAAATAAAAGAATAATGGCATTTGAAAACAACATAAACCAAACAACTTAATCTTGACAATAAGGAATTTAATTTTGTATACTGGAGCTGTCAAATGACATACAGTAATTTCATCCATATGAATATACAAGTGCATTTCACTTTATCTTGAACAAACTTGGCTGAGAATTTTAATAATCAAAAGTTTAATCTCCTTTACCATCATTTAAGTATTTGAACTTAAGAATTTTAATAATCAAACTAGTCTTACTTCTTCCAAATATTACAATTGTATTTAAGAGTTTCTTCCTTAAAGGCTCTATATATGTGATTGAAACTAACACCCCAATAGTACACTTAAAAGAACATGGCTGACGATAAGCCTAGGTATTCACATCATAAGGGCATAACAAGTCCAAGCCATACTTAGGCCTACACACCATACGAGTTTGAAACTTCCCAAAGTTTTGGACCCAAACTACAGCCCTAAACCAGCCCATCCATTTAGGGCTACACTAATGCATGGACATCCATTTATACGACGCCTTGCAGCAAACAAAGAAGGTTGGATTGTAAACAGCAATAATTTGTTAACAAACAAGGATACACAAAAATGGCTTTTTGGGAAATTTATTGATCTGCAACCAAATATAATAAATATTCTATTTAATAACAACTCTAACCGTCTAATAAACACAACTACATAAGGATAAATTTATGCAGAATTCACACTACATAGAAGTCTAAAAGACAATCCTTATTATTTGGATCTTAGAAAAACACAAGATCTCTGCCAAATTATTACAAGATAGCAAAGCTGTACTTCATTTGTCAAACTTCCAGAGAGAACAAGCTAACATAAATATGAGTATGGGAGACAGTAAACACAAATGTTCTGTTAAATTCCTATATGACATAATCAACATTTTCAAGTAGATGGATTAAACATCTCCACCTTAATGTAACCTGTCCACAAACATGACATTCTACTGACATCTGCAACCAAGATAAACATATTATTGACTTTTGACTCCAAAAATGGGTGATGCTCAGTGATTTAAAATGCGCTAGGCGCCAAAAAGCGCCAAGGTCCAAAAACGCCCGAGGCGCTAGGCGCTCGCCTGAGCGAAGCGAGGCACTAAAATATAAAAATATATAATATAATTAATATAATTATTTAAATAAAAATATACTATTAAATTAAGAAAATCAAGTACAAAATCACAATGTTATATTAATAAAAAGTCTCAAAAATCAAAACAATAAAATTTTACATCAAATCTATTGAGTTGCTCTGTACACTTGTCATTTATTCTGAAACCTAACGATAATTTTAAATAAAAAAAATTAATAGTATTAAAATCAAAATAATATATTATTAATCTAATAAATAAAAATATTATTATTAGTATACAGTTAGCAATATATTGTTAATATACTGTTAACAGTATAGTGAGAAAAGTGTGAGAAGACCGAGGCTACTAAGACAATGACAGTGGTAGCGAGAGCGAGAGCGGCGAGCGATAGCGGGAGTGGGAGTTGTGAGCGACGACAACAATGATGAGTGACGATTGTGGCAGCGGTGAGTAGCGACAGTGGCAGCAGCAGCAGAGAGCAACGACAGCGAGAAGAAATCTCGACGGCAAATCGCGAGTGTTAAGGTTGGGGAAGTCGGGAAAATCGTGTGAGGGAGCCTATATGTGATTTAGTTGGTCCGATTGAACCAACTAAAGCACCGGAGACCGAACCAGACGTAAAACATTGGTTCGGTCGCCTGGTTTAACCCGGGCGCTCGCCTGAAGCGCCTGACGCCTAGGCTCGGGCGAGCGCCTAGGCGGCGCCTCATTGAAGCGAGGCTCTTGGACATGAAGCGAGGCGCTCGGGCCTCGCCTCGCCTCGCCCGAGCACCTAGGCGAGCGCCCGAGCGCCTATTGAAATCACTGGTGATGCTAAACCGTGTTTTGTTGCTTTATCAACAATATTGTACTCATGTTAATTCTTATGCCAGTCTTCATTACACGTGTGAATGAGGATAAAGTTCTTACAGCTAAATTTGTAATCTTCTTTGGGAAACAGTCAAGATAACAGCCAACTATGCTAATTGTCTCACCACCAGTTACTCGAGCTCTTACATATTTCAAGAACATTATCTTACATAACTTGAAAATGAAGGTTATGTTGGTTTCCAATCATAACAGTATGCTCAAAAGAAGACCCAACTCTGATGTTACTTATGTCTAGATGCTGATCAGTACTTCATTAGTTGGTGTACAGCAATGAAACTGCAATTCCAAGATATTGAACTGTCAACACTGAGGTAGACTCACATGGCTTTAAGAAGGAAATTCATGAAATCAGAACAAATGCAAGAAAGATTAAAAAAAATGATGCTACAAATCATTTAAAAATTCATATATAAAGTATGGTAAGTGAATATTTTCACATCGAATTTGTAGCCCAAACACTTCTCACTAGACTCTTCCAGGGAGTTTAACATCGGGTAGGGGTAAAAACATTAAATGCAGTTCTTGTGAACCTAGTTGATGCTTAAGCTAAATAAATAATTTAACATGGATAAAACTCAGAGCAAAAAACTAAATACTGGTGACAACTTGAATGGTAAATTATCATTACTTTCTTTATTGATAGGTGAAAAAGTCAGCATCAACTTACCCAAGTCAGTAATAAGCAAAAAGCCACCGAGGCCAATTGGTAGAGTTCATTTGTCTGCAAATTCAGCCCAGAAGGCAAGACAAAGATGTGAGACTAAAATATAAAGGATTCAAAAGACAAGGAAATGGACTTTCTCATGTTGATAATCTATGCTAGCCAACAATCTCCTAATTATATAGACGATCACTATGAGTAATACCCATCAAAATGGTTCCATGTGATGATTCACACCTACAGAGCCATATCTAAAGATTCCCTTATGGAGAAGAGAAGAACAGAGTTTCAAACATGGGACATGACATTATGAAAGCCCCAAATCTTGTATAAGATGGACCACAATTAAGTTAGCATATAAAATATTACAATACCCAAAACAAAACAAATTCTAGATGAAACTAATCAGTACATTCTAGATAGATCATATCTAGCAAAGCAACAAAACAAATTCCTTCAGAAGTATAGAAACCATCACATGGAAGGTGGTTGCTGATTTGTGTGTTCTTCAAGAAAAAAACTACAACCTTTGGAGAAAAAGGCATAGCCACAACTTCATTTGTCTTAAAATGTGGCCTATATCATATGTTTACAGCTGTCAGCCGACGAGCTTATTTTTGGTCAGGCTGCAGTAAACAACATGCATTCATAAAAAATCCATACGACCTCACAGAAAGCCCTCATCAAACTGATTTAAAGCTAATAAACTTTAGTTAGGAGTCCAAGGACTTATAACAGGTACAAGGTTCTGAATGAGGTTGACAAGCTTAATTATCAGCAAATGCTCATTTCTTTTATCCTCATAGTGAACACAACATTTACCAAACACTTTTGACAGGACAACATATGAGAATAGTGTACCAAAAGCCAGTGAGCATTGAAAAATGAAAATTAATGGCGAATAATATGACAATATAAACACCATCAAGAAATGCATGAGCAATATCATCAATCAATTTACATCAAACATATAAAGACTTACTTGAGATGACAACTGAATCATAAGCTTTAAGAAGCGAGGAACAAAAGACCAAGACAATACAGAAGCAGCAGTTATGAACAAGGACAAGACCATCAACCTGCATACAATAAAGATGTTCAGAACAACTGTAGCCATTTATCATCTACAGGAACATTTGCCAATAAGATAACAGTTCATGGAGATCACGATCTAATAAAAGAACTTTGTCCCTGGTAATGGCTCATATAAACATTTTAATTTAATAAAAAATGGACAAAATGCAAAAAGAAGATGGTGATATGAAATTTCTAATTAGTGATAGCACTTACAACTTTGCCATTGACATAATTCCATGGAACAGACCACTACCGCCACCCAGAACAGGAAGCAGAGCAAAAAGAAGACCAACCGCACAATCCTGAACCAAACCATAGAACAAATATGAGAATGTTGGGCAAGTATTTTTGGCTTAGTGAACATATTTTTCTTGTCGGTACAATATAATGCTATCCACTCAGAACAATAATATATGACCTAAAATTATCAAACTATTATATGCAGCAGATAGGACATTCTAAAATCCAACCAACTCATAACTAAAAAAAACGTATAATTTCAGTATAAAAATTACTTATATAACTGGAAAACATGGTCTAGGTCTTAATCATATTTCTCAAAACCAAGGTTTGATGTACCACCATAAATGGTATGGTACGGGTGACAATCCGACAGGTGACCGAGACATGGACCTCCCTGTACCATGCAGTTTATGTGGTGGTGTGGGGGGGGGGGGGCGGGGGGGGGCGGAGGTGTGGGGTGGTGCGGGGTTTATATCTGAAATCAGATTGTTACTGACCTGCACCAGTAGGTAATAGTCAAATTTTGACTGATTTTGACCGACAACCCTGGTTTCCCTAATTCCAATGGCCAATTTGACGTTGGCAGCATTTGGAAGAGTTTAAAAGCCCATTCCCCCCACCCCCCCCCTCCCCCTCCCTCCCACTTTCACTCTTACACTCTCTCTAACTCATTCTCACCCAAATCTCTCTCTCTCTCTCTTTCTCACAATTTCTTAATCTTCAACTCAATCAAAGCTGAAATTTGGTGATTAGAGGCTTATTCGGATTCTAACTCTGCATTTAGAGGAGGATTACTCTAATCAAGAGGTATGCATTCCCTTTTTAGTTCTTTGTTAATTTATGACATGATTAGCTCTATTATATGTAGTTAATGCCTATTAGGATGATTGACATGTTTATAGTGTAACAGAGGGCTAATTAGGCAATAATACAGTTTTTTAATGTTGTGATTAGTTGATTAAATGTTGATTTCATCGATATTAGACCCATAGTGGATCAATTCTATGTAGTTAATGCCAATTAGAGTGTTTGACATGTTTCTAGTGGTAAAAGAGGACTAATTATGCAATAATACAGTTTTTTAATGCTATGATTAATTGATTGAATGCTGATTTCATTGATATTAGACCCATATTGGGTCAATTATATGTATTTAATCCAATTTTTAACTGCTATGTTTAGTTGATTTAATGCTGATTTCATCAAAATTAGACCAATATTGGGTCAATTCTATCTTTTTAATGCCTATTAGGGAGATTAACATATTTATAGTGGTAAAAGAGGACTAATTAAGCAATAATATAAATTTTTTAATGCTCTTATTAGTCGATTAATGTGGATTTCATCGAAATTAGACCCATATTGGGTAAATCTATCTAGTTAATGCCTATTAGGGTGATTGACATGTTTATAGTGGCAAAGTAGGGTTTACTATATGGCATTATAATTGTTATTTCAAATTTGATGGTAATTAGGATTAATCACAACTTATTAATTTAATAAATATTTGTAGGAACACGACACCAATAGATTGGGCATATGATGATGCTTGGGATTATGCCCGTCGTTTGGGCAACCGTCATCATTGGCAATGCATTCATTGTGACTAAATTGGTCAGGGTGGAGGAATCACTTGGCTAAAACAACATTTAGCTGACGAGTATCCCGATGTTGCAAAATGTAAAAAGGTTGCCATGAAAGTCTGTAGATTATTTCAAGATAAGCTACAATGGGCAAAGGATGGTGCATTGTAAAAGAAGGCCAAGGAACAAAAAGAATATAAGCAGACTATGCAGGACCCGTTTATAATAAATACGAGGGTTATGGAGATAATGTCGACTCAAACCTTATAGTTGGCTTTCGTACATCACTAGAGCATCAATACATGTATGAGGAGGCAATGAGACATAGACGATCTGACTCACAATAGGAGCATGGTGATGGCAATGGGTTTGGGCCATAGGGATTCCAAAGAAGTGTCAGCATGAGGAAGCCACCTACCCCTCTTCAGTTGAGCAAGATTGGTAGCATAAGGCAGGATGGAATCCGATGTTTCATGAGAGGACTTGGCAGGAGGTCAACACCTGATATTGTTGATATTATCCGTAAGCCTATCCTCCACAATCAGCAAAATAGACTAGAATTGACGATGCCTATACAAAAGAAATGAAGCGAAATATTAACAAGGCAATAGCAAAGTGCCAAAGTGGTTCAACTTTCACAGGATTCCAGCAAACACAACTGAAAGTCCAAATTATCAAAGCATAGTGTTTTTGATCCAAATGATTGGCACGAGATACCAATCTCCTACACCAAAGGAGATACACGACATTTATTTAGATGGGGAGGTGACAAAACTAAAGGACTGGATCAAATCCTACAACAGGCAGTGGAATGAGTATAAGGTAACACTAAAGTGTGATAGTTGGACCCAATCTACAAGAATAAGCATCATCAACTTTCTTGTCTATTGCAATATAAGGGTTATATTCACAAGTCGTTTCATACTTTCAATAAAATTCAAGATGCAAACTAAATAGAGAACCTAATGGAACTATGGTAGTGGAGATCAGGCCACAGTACATTATCCTAATTATGACTGATAATGGAGCAAATTTCAAGAAGGTCAGTTTACAGTTGATGGAGTGAAACGAAACACTATTTTAGACTCCATGTGCAGTTGATTGCATGGACCTTATGATAAAGGACATCGATGAGTACCATTAGTAAAATAATGTGTGGTAAGGGCACGGTTGATGATAAAGTTTTTATATAACTATCATTGGGTCTACTCCTTGATGTAGAAGTTTACAAATGATGAAATACCCCAACCCAACATCACTCGGTTTGCTACAAATTTCATCGCCTTAAAGTCAATCTAGCAAAAGAGGCATAATCTCAAGGCAATGGTGACATCACAGGAATGGACGGATTCACAAATTCAAAATCAAGTGATGGAAAAAAAATAAAGATGACAATTTTATCTTCTGTATTTTGGGAGTCCGTGAATGAAATTATAACAACAGTGGAACCACTTAATGTTGTTCTCCATAAGGTCGCAAATGTCTTATCTTAGACATATGTTGCTTACAGCCAGAGAGGAGGTAAAGAAAGTATTGTCCAATGATTTAAGGTTGATCAATATATACAGATCAAGTCCGTAGGACCGAAGCTCATATGAACCAACACATTCATAATGCAGGTAAATTCACATTCATAGTCATAATATACATAATCAATATTTCAAAAATTAATGTTGACGAAATCATTTGTCTTGCAGTGTATTATCTAAATTCAACCATTTAGTTTTGATAGAGTCTTGGGACCCGACCACATTTATTGAAAACACTAAAGAATGCTATATACTGACTCCTACCACAAAGTGTCGCTATAGCAAATGCTATCACGGAGGGCCAACTATTCCGAAAAAGTGTCAGTTCATGCTTCAACGATGTAGCTATCAAGGTTCGCCTTACCGATCTATACCGATGTACCGACCAACCGTTGGTACGATAAGTACCGAGGTGTACCGACATACCATATGTCAGTACGCCTGGGTGTAACGACGATACGGGAAAATTATTGAAAATAACTCCAAAAATTATTAAAAAGAAGAAAAAAAGTTAGATTAGGGTTTCTAAGTTGGAAATAAATATAAATTTAATATAATTTTAGCAAAAATAATCTAAATTAGGAAAGAATAATTACATATATCTTTTTCGACCTTTGCGAAGTAACTTCATGGTACGTTTCAGACCTTCCTTCCATTAATATTAAATTATCAACAAAGAAATGATTTAAATTATTAGATTTTTTTTAAACAACTTAAATTTTAAGATTCAAATGAATCAAGTAATCAATCGATGGATATACCTGATTTTACTACACAAAAAAATTAATGGGACTTCACATGCGATGGATCACGGTCCTTAAACCTGTGTATCTGTATATCAATTTGATATATTTCTCGTACCCAATTCTGAAAATGATCCCACAAGATTATTGACTCTCCGACGCCGCCGCCATCATCGTTCGAGGCATTGTTGTTCATGTCGTTGCCATGTCTCTAGACCGAGCGAGTTATTAAATGCGATTAAGAAGGTGTCTCATTGCCCGAGTTGATTCTTTCCAATGGTGCGGCTGATGCGCTACTGCCTTCCCCTTTGCCTTTACATATTGGTGGGACGACTATAGCGAACGAAAGGGTTTAGAAACCCTTTCCTATGGTTCAAACGGTCAAATTGACCATTTGAAATAGGGCAATCAAAGCCCTTGATCAATAACGATCAAAATCCGACCATTATCGAACGATACAGGTCGGTAACGATCAAAATGATCGAAATCCGATCGTTACCGATTGGTACAGGTTAGTAATGATCAGATTTTGATCGTTACCGATCGGTATAAACCCCGTATCACTAAATACAAGGTCATGTAATGGGTATTGCCTGGTAGAGGGCAACCCACATATTGGTCCCCTATCGGACCGATACATACCACCAGTACCGAGCGATACAGCTCGGTACGACGAACCCTAGTAGCTATATCGTGTCATTACACTATGGATCATAGTAAAAATAATTACACACCCATCTTTGATTATAAATTAAAAATTAACATTAATAATTTATTATGCTAATAAAGTTTTATTTATATTTTTTTACAACCGAGTGGTGGTTATAATTTAGAGGGCTCGCACCTAATATATGAAATATTATAGTACATGTACTTTTACAGACGACGACATCAAGTAGTTAGGAACGTAATTAGTCAGCGTTCACCTTGAACACACGAAGGTCCCTAACAAACTACCATATAGACGACTGAAGAAATTTGTATATGTTCACTATAATATGCGACTAAGGTTGCGGTGTGTCGAACTAAACAAGGAGCCAGAGGAACTAGAGATTGGTCCCTTTGACCTCTAATACTACAATAAAGATTCACAGCTAATGTTGGAATAGGTCGAAGCAGCGAAAAACCAAGGGGATCCTTCACTTGACGAGACAAGAGATCCTCCACGTCCTTCTCATTTTATCACTGAGGCAATGGAAAGAGCCTTACAACCTCGAGTCAGACTATTCGAGGTCATGACACCCAACAATCACAGTCGTTCATCCAACGTGCAAAGGCAAGGGGGAAGGGACTAACATCAACCGAACCATTGTAAATAATTGAACAGGCGATGAGACATCTTCTCAATGACATTTAACAATCCGCTCAGTCCGTAGAGATACCAATAACATGGATAGTAGCACCTCAACCGATGATAGCTATGATGACGGGGAGTTAATAGTTTTGTCTACTCAACCTCACAGTGGTGCATAGACTGAGTAGCATTTTATTCATGCCACCCAAGATTTAGATCATGGAGCTTGAGGAGATAGTCTGTCACATTAATACACGGAAGGGGAGGAGAAAGCGATCAATGATTTTGAACAGATGCGACAGAGCCTATACGACGTAGTCACAAAGCGAAGCTCGTCGTATTCCTAACCACCATATTATAGAGGATCTTACGACCAATAATATGATAGTTGGTTATTCTTTTCTGAGGCTAATCAATCTTATGATACAGACCAACAGGTTAGTGGCAAAAGTAAAAGTTCTGATGTTATCCAACCTTCGCACTAATATATGCTACAATCATACTTATCTCAGGAGTCGCCTCGGACATGTGTGGTTTAGGACGATTAGGCTACAACCGTCACCACATTGATATACCATGTCGAGGAATACAATCTAAAGTATGCCATGTCACAAGAGCAATTTTAGGATTGGGTCCGACAAACATACCATATTGATATAGGATTGAAGACCTCGATCTATCGCCTATGGAATCCTATCATTCATTTTGGTGGTAAAACTAGGTATATCCATTGACAAATCTATTTATTATTTAATTCATTTGAATCTTAAAGTTTTGACTTGTAATTTAACAATTCAAGTCATATCTTTATAGATAATTCAATATCAACGGAAGAACGATTCAGAACATGTTGTAAAGTTGCTCCTCAAAGCCTAAAAATGATAAATCCACAATCCCTTCCTAATTTAGATGCTTTTTTATGAAATTAAACTAAACTTGCATTTAGTTCCAATTTAAAAACCCTAAGTTATGTTTTTCCTAATTTTTAAGTATTTTTTGAAATTTATTGAGAATTTTTTGGATTGGCACACCCTAACATACTAACACATGATACATCGGTACAGAGTGGTACATGCTATACCGTTGGCTGGGTAGCATGACCGATTGACACAAGAAGTCAAACCTTACTCAAAACTAGAAGAGGTTGGCTTATCATATAGTAATAGATGTTTGCTATAAACTAAATGACAGCGGCCATGTATTGGATGGAATCCAATATTTATTGAGAGTATCTGACAATATTTATTGAGTATCTGAAGGCTTGCTTAATTGTCACAAGGCTACATATAGAGCAAAATGGAAACAGAATAATTATCATAATAGAGCTAGGACAGTGAAAAAGACCCCAAGTCAAACCTGAAGAATGAGTGTACCAATTGTAACTTGACCATGAAGGGAATTTGTTATGTTCTTTTCCACTAAAAATTTTGATACCTGAAACACAATATAAGGGAAATGCTTCAGAGTTAGCAGGTATGAAGGAAAGAACAAGCAGGTTTAAACAAAAGAATGAGAGCTCAAATATCCAAATAACAAAGAACAGGAATGAAAACTCAAATATCCATATATTAAGGTAGATTGATAATGACCACAGCTGTAGATGACATTGATAAGAAAGAACCAACAAATACGCCCTCAGATGACTTCCCACCACATAACTGCATGAAATGAACAAGAACCCTTCAGAAAATTCATTCCAAAAAACAATCAGAAGATAAGCTATTATGGCAGACATGGAACCAAAACAGCCCAATTCAAAATGACCACAGTGATAGCATTAGAAAAGGATAGTTAAATATAAAAATAACGATAGCGTACCATGGCAGTTAGGCCACAAAAGAACATAAAAATAATGATCTGAAGTAGACCTCCAAGAATAGCAACAGGACCAACAGCTTTTAACTGACAAAAATAAAAATTATGAATTAGAATTAAATATGATCAAACAGATATAAAGGCTTCTATTCAGTTAAATAAAGTACCTTAGCTGATGAAAACTCGAGACCCAATGCAAAAAGGAGAAACACCACGCCAAACTGCGCAACAGTCTCAACCTGGTTGCAGATATCCAACACTAAATTACCATACATATCAAAATGTTGATACCACATCTTAAATAACAAGGTAAAGCTCCCTGAAGCTTCCTATCATGGAGATACTTGCTGTGCCAAAGGGGCTGTGTAATGCCCTACTCAGATCATATGCCCACAATTAATATTTTGTGCACAATGGTTGGCCCTTGTGAATGCTTGGTACAAAACCCCACCAAGACATTACATGCTATCTGGGATAGAGGCAAAATTGGCCAATATAACAACACTTTCTTGAAATAAGTTTCAATAACTTTTAAGAGAGGATCACAAGCTTTGCAGGTGTGTGCTCCATCATCTTTGGCATCAATTCCAGCAGGTCAAGGGCATTATCACCAACTGCTCTCTAGATTCAAGGTGTATTTCTGAAAGAAAGGACCTTCCACTTCCAAGGTTTTCATTTGAATAACCAAATAGTATGAAAAGGTTCTGAATATCATATCGTACCATACCGGTGTACCGATCAGTTGTCGGTATGGTACATACCAAGATATACCGAGTGTACCGACACATAGTACACTAAGGTATATCGATGTACTGCCCATACCACTCCCGAGCGGTACGGTATGGTATTGCAAACCATGATGAAAACAATAGTTGTGCCATTACTATCATTGATCATCTTGTCTTTCCGTCGTACTTTCAGATTGCCACTTAGATCTGTGATGCTGCATCAAATTTATGTCCAAAAAGAAATCCTAAATTCCTCATATATAGTAGTTAAAGCTTTTGGTTGAAATCATTAAATTACATCAATGGCTTGCAAATGTGATGCATGCACAGCTCTAATGACAAACTGACGCAAGAATCAGTGGAAATAAGTAGAATAAAGAGAGTGAAAGGCAAGAAAGGTTGGACGCCATGGCAGTGAAGATAGAGATTAGTAGTAGGAGAAACTTTCAATAGAGGCAACAAAAGATGATAACCATGGCATGACTGTGAAGAAACTGCAATTGACACAAGGTAGAAAATCATGATAGAAGGATGGAGATCAGAAGGAAGAGATATCTCAGAAGAGGCAAGGGAAAAAGATAATAACAGCACAATCATAAAGAAACTCAGAGAAAACAACTTAATACATTTTCCAAGATCGGCAAGGTCATGATATACACATTCAACTGATTTTTTGTTGAGTAGTCAGACTTGTCTAATCCAAGTCCATTTCCTCTGGATAATAGCCAACTGGTAATTTGAACTATTGACACCTAACAAAATCCTAACCTACCTAAATTACCTAAATATAATTAAAAATATCCTAATATTCTAACAAAAAAACCAAAAATGCCTATAAAATATAAAAGCTCTATAACTCCAATTAGACCTAGAAAATATCCATAAAAATAATACCTAGAGTACAGAAAAAATAAGAAATAAAATCATATACTTGACCTAAACCTAATTAGACTCAATTCTGTATTTTAAGTTCATCTTTTTTTTCTAAACGATCTTCATCAAGATGTCTTTGTGAGGTATTTACTCTGACCCATGGAACATCAAAAACAAATTATCTCATGTAAAAATAGCTTTTGCTTATGATCATTTATGCCATTGGAAGTCCAGTTTGATATACCTCAAAAAAATAGCTTTGACCATTAACTAACATTTCCTTTGTGGTGACTACCATTTTACGAAAAATCAAAAGTTTTTAGAAGTAAAGTTCCACTTGTTTGTATGCTAGCAATGTGGATGGTGTACTTATTCCCAGTTCAAGGATGAATGGCCGTCACAAGGGTTCAAAGTTATGCTGTAGCAAATACCATAAACAGAAAGAAGAATGCCCTGCATCAGTTCGAAAATTCAAATAAGATTCAAACACTTGAAATGGTTTACAATAAGAAAAGAAATCTATCCTCGCAAACATTGTTTGCCAACTCCTTGACATCACCTCTATATTTACGCTTAATACATGACATCAGCTTGATTCAGTTTCTTAATGTTTCCACATCTTCACCACGAATAATTCATTAAGTAAACGACTTTTTCTTTGTTATGCCAATTTGCCAAATACATGATGTTTATACATCCCATAAAGTTCAGTTGGCAAAAGGGTAATTGTGTAATGAGCAGTGAAGAGAAATCCATACAGATAACCTTTAAAAAATTGGGCATCATTTGCCTCCCAAGATATGCAATGCTGTCTCTTTCGTGTTTTTTAACCAGTTAATTGCTCAGTTTAGAGCTACCAGACAACTAGAGATTGAAAGTATGAAACAACTTTATTTAATCAGGGCACAGTAAAGTGAAAATAATTAACGTGTTTGATGAACTTGCACAGCACACATTCAGTTGAAGAAACATGAATAGAAGAGACCTACAATCAGGTAAAAAAATGTTAATCTGCTGAAGTTACCTGCACTATCTCACTAATAAATCTCAAGCCCCCTGGTCCTATTAGAGATCCAGCAAGAAGATAACCAACAATGACCTTAAAGATGAAATTGTGTCATAAGCACAAAGGTTAACTGGAGAAAAATATTCAGGAACTGAACACTCAAAAAGGCCAATATTTTAAGTAGTGAGATCATGTTTAAACTTCAAAGAATAAATATGATTACTCACTGGCTGTCCCAAGCAGGAGAAGGCAATACCGCCAATTGTAGCTGAAACTATTACAACAACCAAGTCTGAAATTAATCTGCATGGAAGAACTAGATTTAGCTGTGTCATGTACACATATATGAAAAATATATATAATAGATAGCCACATAAACACACATATATACATAAGTACATACACAAGTATTTATATAAAATTAACTTTATACATTAATCAATACAACCTTAAATCTACTTGAAGCACTGGATACTTTGTTTTACGGTTTGACATAACAAACACATTATCCTGAAGCAAATAAAAAAAGAAAGCATGTCAATAGCAGTTCTTCAAATTTTAGGGTAAAATGCTAGCCCACAGAATTGAGTTCAACAAACCTTGCTATCTATCAATGTTGTCATATCATCAGAACCCTCATTTTCCAGGCTAAAAACATCCCCAATTTGGAATGATTTGGTTGAACTGCAAGTGTTAGACTACAACCAGTCAATGTATTTTCATAATCTGAATGCATGTGTTGAATTTATGCAAGTTCCATACTTCGCTTCGTGTGTGTCATTTTTCTTTGACTTGTCATGAGTAATTATAGCAACGGTCTCCAGAACTGCCTGCAAGCACAATAAAGAGAATTCCATCAGTTGCACCATTTTTCAATATCCAATCATTCTAACTTTTAAACATAGATACATCCAAACATTTTATTGCATGTTAAAGAATCAAATGGCATGAATTTTTCTTTATTTGCAAGTCAAAAAAGCAAAGACTCATGAAATACCAAGGTGATTGTACATATTTCATTTATTTGCATGATGCAGCTAAATAGCTACATGCGTGCCTTTGTGACCTGGTAAGTAGGTAAACTTAAAAAGTTTTTACAATTAATGGAATACTAACTTCCACAATGCCAATTCCTCTATGCTAGTAGTAAACTATGTGCTAGCATTAGAGGAACATCTACTCCTTTAAGCTTAAGTCAATTCATCTGACACTAAAGATACCAAACAAAAGAAGTAAACCATTCTACTGCTGTTATGTCAATGACAGGTACAATATAGTACATATTACATAGGGCTCATGCATTGTGAGCAGTAATGCATTAAAGCTGTTCACATGACACAGAAATGCTACAACCACTACTCTAACTATTGTGGAGTGAACCTGTCAGTGTCGCTGAAAAAAATAAATTCAAGTGAATAGAAGTTGGTGACTCAAGTTCAAATACGAAGTTTTCATTTTCCATTTTTCTCAAGGAAAAGTACTAAAAAATACTTCATTCCTGAAACGTAATCACAGTTCACTAGACATCTACGATATGACAGATAGTGTGAGATTTAATCTAATGTTAAAAGCACAAAACATTATTATCATCATCCCCAGAGCCTATTCACACAGACTAAAGGCACACTAGGATGCACACTCAAGCAGCCTACTATCCCTTTGAGCACTATCCAACATGTTCAAACCAAATTATTTATAGTATATATATATATATATACACATGTATATATGCATGTATGTATTTATGTATGTGTGCGTGATGTGTGTAAGCCAATCGTCTCTGGACAATTGTTTAAATTCAAACATGAACAAATTTACACATCACCTTCTACATATTTTTTTTCTTTCAATTTCTGTTGTGAGAGTTCCATCATGCTACAACATTTTCTAGACCACCAAAAGAATAAGAAAAAAATAATTTTTTTAAGATATTTAAAATGCAAAGCGTTCTCAACTAACAAGCCAACAGGTGCATAAGAGGAAAGTCACACCTACTTGATGATCCGCCACAGAGTTGTTGAAGCTACTTTGATCAGGACCTAAAATGCATTATATTACCTCATTAGTGCTAATTAATCATGCAACAACACCACTAAATACTCTAAGTAAAAGACATCTGAAAATAATAGGACATGAGAGCCATATTAAGAAAAAGTTAACATGAAAATGGTGCTGGAAACTAAAATGACATGCCACCTCATTACATAGGCTTATTCTTCATTTGCAATGGAAAAAGATTCAATTAGCATAAAGCACCACTCCTAGGAGGCACAAAAGAAGCAAGATGACCAAAGAACATCTCTTCATGACTAAAATGAGAAAATTAGAAGCATCCAAGTCTTAAGCTCTATGTAATATCCCCATGTGCAACCAGATATCAGATTTACTTTCCAAGGAAACCTATTGTTTCAAATAATTACCTTCCAGCAGCAATCTTGAGCCTCAGCATTTGACATTACAACTTAAACAATTCAAATTGATGACTCAAATGCTGACAGAAATCAATATCACCAAAATAAACTAATTATAAATAGGAAGTATATATTGACCAAAGAGAACTCCTTGGTCAATAATAAATTGACCTAGTCAATAAAAAAATTCTTGGACTCAAATGAACCCATAACATTTAAAATGAGAACTCATCCATGGGATCCAATAATTTAGGGGCTCATTAGATATCCAATAAGATAGAGGCTCCAACAAATATCTTATATTCGAATCTCTACTCATCGCAACACCTACCATATGCGTGTGACCCTCTAGGTCCAATATCGAGCTGGTCGTGAGTCATACCTATCAAAACTCTTTCTGGATCAGTGAATTATTATCTCTATAATAATTCACTCGACTCATCGATTGCGGACGATTTATGCCACTACGCCAAAGTCCTCAAACGATATAAAAGAATCCAATCTTTTGGACCTATCTGTCCTCAGTTACTGCGTACCTATAGTCCCTCATTCATCTAATATCCTAGAGACCATATAGCAGGCATGGTGTTGTCATACGGTTTATCCTCGAGTCTCACTCTAATCGGATTCTCCCGGTGAACTCTTTCTCTCTAAATCCGAATGACCTTGACCAAGATGTTGTGCATGGTTCTCTAATGGCATGGATAATAGCTTCTGGCCACCAGCATCCTTCAATATTTTGAAGAGTTGTCAGATTATTGTTCCCAAGAGTAGAAGCCAAAGACAAAGAAATTTCTCATGATTAGGCATCAATTATAGAAAAGTAGTCATATGAGTGTACTAGTACTATAAGGTATTAGGTAAAGAACAAAGATTAGGTTTATGTCAATGATGACACCCAGAAATTACTAACTACTCCATAACAGGATCATGAAATTGAGATATGAGATGCATAATAAGGCAAGTAGTGAACCCATTATAGGTTGTAACTAGTTCAGGCAGTTATTAGTTGGATTCTGTCCAAAGATTCACTATGAGTGATTGGCAAAGGGTCCCAACACAACTGTGAATGCTAACTAACTTCTTAGCTCTCTTTACATACATACATATGATACACATATATACATACATACATACATATGATACACACACACATATATCAAAGAAGCTCTTACAAGAAAAAACTATAAGGATATGTTTGGAAATTGCCCCGTCGGGTGATTTAAACTTGACAACCTGGCTTGATAAGACTAACAAAAGTATGTATACAGATTTTTCAAGTAATAAGTTGTTACAAGGCATTCATCTAAATAACTTACAATTTTCTACAAAAAAAAACTCTCAGCATCTCCTTTTTCCCCTTGCCGCTGCATCATTCTCTTTCCTTCTATTTGCTCCTGTATCTTTTTCTTCTTCCCCCTTACTCGTCTAGCCTCTCTCACCCATCTCTGTCTGTCTCCTTTCTGTACTATCTCAAAACAAAAAGAATGGAGAACTATCGTCGGAGAATAGATTCCAAAGATCACGTGCTTTTTTGAACGATTTATTCAGATTAATGGTATGAAATCACAGCAACAAGATAAAAGATCTTTCCAACCTCTAATTTTCCTTCCAACGCCAGATGTTCTTGACCCTAAACGTATCAAGAACATTCTTTCCAATCAGCCAACACGAATATAGGATTTTTCTTCAGGCGATCAACTAAAAATTGTTCTATGCACTCCTAGTCTCTTCAATCGCAAAGCCACAGTGCAACCAAACAGAAACCAGAAGAAGAATCTTGATAAGGGGAACAGATCCCTTACCTTCGGGCACGTCATTTTCGGAGAACTCCTTCTCGAGCACGCGATCGAAGATCTCAGCGATGCTCCCCTCGCCAGAGCTATTGCGAGACTCCCCCTTCACCAGGTTCCCGTAGAACTTCTCTCGCGTCTCCTTGTCCGGCCTGGAGAACACACCGACCCTAGCCGAGGGCGAAATCAGGGCGAAAAGAACCAACAGCCCAAGCGCTCCCCGCGCTGGATCGAGCGCGGCGGCCATGAAATCGGGGGTTTCGGCGATCTGCCGGGATCGGGGGGGGGGAGCAGGAGGGGATCTTGGAACACTACAGAGGCATGCGGGGGAGAGGGAGGGACGAGGGTTTCGAGCGAGACGGAGGGAGGTGGAAAAAAAGAAAGACGAAAGGAAGGAAAAGAAAGTGGGAAAAAAAGGTCTCGAATGAAGGGCGGCTTCAGGGTGGTCGCCATCGGTAGGTAAACCGTTAGGTTCGGAGAGCATCGTTCGGGTCCACGGATCCGGGAACGAGCGGCGCCGGATCGTCCACCCATCGGACCCGTTAAGCGCCTGATGGGTGAGCGTTGAGTTCCCCTATCAGCTTGCTTCTGCGCCAAACGAAAGAGAAATGTTGCCCACCCATCCCGAGCGTGCAATTCCTGTGTCTCGATCACGCCACCGAACAGGAAAGGAACTCCTCTCATTGGTTGACGGCCGTGGCCCCGAACGATGGAAAACCTGAAGGCGTTTAAGAAGCACAGTAATAGCGCGTGTTATGCATGTAAGAGTGGTGGAAAATGCAATTGCCAACTGGGTTTGAACTACCATGAAAGAGGCTCGTTCGCTTGCACAAAAGATCGAACCCAAAAGGACAATGATTGTGATCGAAGTATGTATGAGTCGAGGTTGCTTTTTCATATACAGCACTGATGTGGCCATTAGTCAACTCACTGCAAAAGGACGATCAAGATTGTTGCATAGATTTGAATGGCTAAGATTGCTACTGTCTACGGACAGTGGAGGAATTCCTCCATCTACTTCTATTTTCCATTTTGACAGTAAATGATCTTGGTGAGCCTCATGTACACTGCCTGCTCATCTTAACAGCAATCCATTTCTGTAGCACCAAAAAACAAACTGTGGATCTTATTGTAGTCGGTAGTAGATTATATTTTACACAAAGTCAGATGTGCCATTGATTAGCTAAGCTATTCCACGTTTTTAACAGTAACACATACAGGATAACGCAGATTCGTATATGGCAACAACATTCATCAAATTTCTTATACCTATCCTTCGGTTTGCAAATGTGCAGACACCCAACTATCCTCCATGATTTGGTGATAGAAGCAGATCTTTCCACTAACAAGTTCCAGCATGAATCAAAACCCGAATCTTGTTTGCTTGCACAAGTTGCTAGACGGCTACCTGCGAAAAGCAAATGATCAAAATTTATTGAAACAGGAAAATTGGATACTTGAAACGGACAAAAGAAAAAAGCATTCACTGACGTTGTATATCTGATAGAAATATGAAACACTCATTCAAACGCAAGGCGCTGTGTTCCAACCAATGAGGCATATTGACCTTTCTTTGCCAACAACTCAAGGTGGGTTCCTAGTTCTGCTATCCTACCGCCTGAGCAAAGAGCAATTTGATTTGCATTTTGTACAGTACTTAATCTATGGGCAATCACCAAGGATGTCCTTCCTTTCATCAAGTGATCGAGAGCCTGCTGCACTAGGGACTCACTAGTTGCATCCAGAGCACTGGTGGCCTGTTCAGAAAAGCATAGTACAATAAAAGGTGCAAGAGCCACAAATAGAATTTTGTGATCAAGGCAGAACAATTTACCTCATCAAGTATTAAAATTGGAGCATTCTTAAGAAGAGCTCGTGCTATAGCAATCCTCTGAAAAGTGAAAAGAAAAATTAACCCTGAAGACGTCTGATCTTTGTTGTGTAAATTATGACCATTACCTGTCTCTGTCCACCACTTAATAGGCTTCCACGTTCACCAACTAGTGTGTCATAACCCTACATCAAATATTATTGTTACTGAATATAGAACAATGAAATCAATCAGCATATCAAAGAAACATAAAAGTACAGACCTGAGGAAGTGAGATTATGAATTCATGAGCATTGGCAGCTTTAGCTGCCTTAATTATATCATCCTTGGAGACAGTCTCATCAGGAAGCCCATATGCAATATTTTCTCCAATTGATACTGAAAATAGAACTGGTTCCTGAAATAGCTATTTGTCAGATAATGTATAAATGAGCCATTTAAGAAAGCAAATGCTCAACAGGTCCTACCACAAACATTGGCGATTCAAGCTGGCTTAAGTTCAACAGTACTTAAGCAGGATAATCACATATAGAGATGCGTGTACATTGAGCATAGCTTTAAACATGTATGCGAAAAGGTACCTGATTCACTAGAGACACAACCCGGGCCCATTCCCTCCTATCAAAAGTTCTGATATCTTCTCCTGCTACAGTGATCCGACCCCTCGTTGGCTGGACAGAAAAACAACCATCCTTACCACTTTTTTCCACATGAAACAAATCGACCCTAAATAATTTCAATAACCAAGATGATATTTACCTCATAAAAGCGTGCCAGAAGTTGTACTATCGTACTTTTTCCAGCACCACTGGGTCCCACTAGTGCTGTTATCTTTCCACATTCGAGGGTCAGATTCAGACCACTCAAGACCTCCACATCAGACCTTAAAGGATAAGAGAAGTATATATCTGCCCTTATAGAGACAATGTAAGTTGGCAAGCAAAATATACTAATAATATAGACCAAACTAAATTGGTGAGAGTTCAATGTTTGATTCAAATGAACATAAAGCCAATAGGAAAAGAAATTTGAACTCATGCACATGAAATTGTGGCATTAGCAAATAGTTATATGAGGAATTAAGTGTATAACAAAATAACAAAAAAAATCCTTATGTTAAAATGCAATGGACGTAGCTTGGAAAACTGAGAACATGAGGCAACTGCCTTATAGGAGAAGGTCAAATAACTATGGTCTTATATCAGCATATTGAGAGGCTGTTTTCCAAAGAAGTTTCAACCCATGACAACTAGGTCACAGTGCAGAAATCTTATCATTGCAAAGGCCACCCTCTTAAGGTCCCCTTACATTCAACACATGAAATGACAACTTGATGGATAAACCCAAGACTATTTGTTGTTTTCATTGCATGCCAGATAAAGAAAGCAAATGAAGAGTGTTCAAAAGGATTCATTTTGTGGAATCAGAAAGAATCTACATGGAAAGTTGACCAGCATGTCTCTTTTTGAAATCTTTACATATCTGACTCAACTTGGGTTTTTGGATGAAATATGACCTTGTCACTCTAGAACGGCAATTCACTTATATATAAACACAAGCGTAAAGACTAATAAAGAGTTATGAAGCCCTCGGACAAAGAAAATACAGAACTGTAAAGTTAACCAAAACTATACCAATTATAGAAATATTTGAACACAATCATGTAAAAACAATCCAATAAGCAAATGTATTTGAACACATATCCGTCAGCCAAATGAAACTTTTCAAGAAATATTTTTAATTAAATGTACAATGTTCATGACATTGAAGGTTTAACATGTTTGCAGCCTAATTGATTGAGCATTAGAAATAGTACAGAAAGATATGCAAAATCCTAGTTATGTAACTAAAAACAGAAACCATTTTACTAACATATAATAATGACAAAATATCCAAATGAAGAAAACTTTTAATACGTTCTTGCATTTTCAAAAAAGTACAAAAATGCAACTCTGATGGTTATATATAAGCATGTCCAAACAAAAGAAAACTATTCTTTTTTTTAATTGCAGAAAATTTTGATTCATACCTTCTAATGATATTTCGAGTCATTCTAAACAAAGATGAAGACGTAGTTTATACATTGATACATGCAGGACAGATTGACATTTATCAGGCGGTCCAGGAAGCAAATAACTAGCAATCCAAAATACAAATCAGCTTTGGTTAATTTGGACCATATAAGTGCAGTTCTACAATATACACATGCTGAGGTGCCAAAGTATGGTTCATGTTAGTTATGTTTGATTGTTGTCTAAAATATGTGTGCCAATAAATCTGGTGATCTGCAAACATGGCAGATATGCCCATCATGAAGCATAACTCTATCGAAAGATGAAAAAAATTCAAAGTCATGTGAGGTAAAAGATATTTTGGCAGAAATTATTCTCAGAATACTAGTGAAAAAGGATACCTTCTAGACAGATGTCACCTGACCAAGCTAGATTACACCCATCACTTGCTGATCTCAGTTCTAACATGTAATGCTTGCTTTGTTTCTTCTTATGATAAACGTCTTCATGATTCAAACCAAGATTGATATCTACTTCAGTTGTTTGGAGTTCTTTCTCTAAACCATATGCAAGTGACATGTCAATTTCCGCTAGAGAAAGAATAGAATTAATTCTTTCAGCAGCAGCAAAAGTCCGGCGGAGATCACCGAGAGTGTTGACACCCCCTTGAACCTGAAATGCTTCTAATTGTCAATTAAGCACAAACATTTTATCTAAGATACCAAAAAGGCATAAAAAGAAGTAACTCACCGCAAAAGTTAGCGTGAAAGTGTAACCAATAAAAGAAACCATAGTTCCAACAGACAGTTCACCCTGAAATTGGACAACTAAGTGAGAGAATAGCATGGGAGAGACGTCATAGAAACTTTATTTCATCCAACCAATTTAAGCTTCTACCTAACACAATTGCAACTAAAGAAAAAGGCAAAAGTTGGTTGTAAATTCCATTAGAAGAATTTTCTGTAGAACTGTAAATCCTATTATTGTATTCTTACGCAATTGGTTCATGATTTCTTCTTCAACAAGCAATTACTGTAACCATATGCATGGTCTTACCCAAAACCAGTAGCACATATCTCCCTCTTACAAAGATGATGAACTCGACACTACCAACTAACATCATGGGAAAGAGTCCTGACAACATCACTGACAGGATGGTGCAAGTCTCACTGCCTTCATGCAAAGGAAACTAATGTTGCCTGCCTCAGGAGATCAGGAAAGACAGGTAAGCTCCACCTGGTCAACTAGCTGATGATGGTGAAATGCAAAAAGGTGCTGAAGAACCAAAACCAAAAGAGGGCTGTCTGGGAATTGGTGATAAGACACGATTAAGAGCAACTTGAATGGAAAATTTAGCAAAGAGACTCTAACTGCAGAAAAGAATGTGTATTAGTAAAATTTTATAACTATTGACTAAACAAGGACTTATCTTGAAAGATTTTTTGTTTCTTAAGTCACAATCTTGGACAAACTCATGCAAGGAATATTAATTATGAGACCATGGTGATTCTTACCGCCTTGACTTTGCTTCCACCAAGACAATAAAGTGCCATCAGAGAAATGTAGACTACTGTCCTTGTCAAGGACTCATTTGCAG